TAGGAGTCCTCCACGTCCTATCGGCCCAAACGGTACAAAGTATAATGTTGGGATCATGCTCATAAAGAGACAAGCATAAAAGAGATCCTTCTCCTCCAGGGGAAGGGATCACTTTCTTCTGACCAAAACCTAATCTCCATATTCCCACACATACACTCATACTAACTAAACCGTCAGAGCTTCGTCCTTGAACCACCTCTCGGACGTCGACTGATGTTCATTCTTCATTGTTGTGATTACAGGGCTCGACCCAGTCGGAACCATCATGAGACGCCATTAAGCCCATAACACATATCACAACATTTGGCATCATCCGTAGGACTCGACCCCACAACCACGTTCGGGAGGTGGTCCCGGGACGAAGCTCTGGCTGTCTAGTTAGTATGAGTGTATGTGTGGGAATATTGAGATTAGGCTTTGGTCAGAAGAAAGTGATCCCTTCCCCTGGAGGAGAAGGATCTCTTTTATACATGTCTCTTTTCTGAGCATGATCACAATAGTAACCTTTGTCCCGTCTGGGCCGACAGGACGTGGAGGACTCCTATTGGTGGATCATGCACCACTAGTGGTCATCTGCTATTGGTGTAGATGAGATAGATGACATCGCTCTGAGTGTTACACTTGTCGCTCTAGGAAGTGACCAACTATGTTTCGTCTTATTATAGAATGGAGATTATCGTCTGGAGTTAGACCTGGGCGCGAGAGTGCCAAGCACCAAGGTCCTAGCGGAGACCACGAGGGCGAGGGCCTGGGTCTGGCACTAGGCCAAACAGTGACTGATAACTAGGTCGTCCTAAAGATAACAATTATGTTATCTTTAACGTATTCCTAGAGGGATACGTTAACAGCTAATGAAAAGATCGGGGCAGATCGTAAGTCAAAGAGTACCCGGTTGGAATGATAATGGGATTGGAACTGGCCTTGAGCTAAAGAGGCTTATTACTTGCATGTATAGTTATTACTATGATGTTTGTGATATTTTGGGGGAATTTACTAAGATTTGTGCTTATAATTATGGACTAAATGTTTTCAGGTATTTCATCTGATTGGGGAAAGTCTCTAGCTTGACCGCACACACTCATCGTTGATGAAAGTTTTTGAGATTTCTGCATGATTATGTTTAATACTTTGATTTTTGGATACACTAACTTTTGGTATGCAAACTATGGTTTTATGACTTGAAATTAATCAGATGAATGTTATTATTTCATCTCCGACAATACTTTATTTTTTACCCAAAAAATATATTTCTAGTATTAGAGGTGACAATAGGTTGGTTTGGGTCTTAAATAGGTTGACCTGTTTAATTGAAAAATATCTAACCAACCCAACCTATTTAAGTAACGGGTTGAGAATTCCCAACCCAACAAAACATTTTTAGTAAATGGTTTGAAATCGGGTTGACATGTTTATTGTTTTTTCCAACCCAACCTATTTACTAAACAGGTTAAACCCGGGTTGACCCGTTTAAAATTTCACAAAAAAACCCATTAAAATCAAATAATCCATGAAATAAAAATACATACAATTTAAAAGCTATAATACTTGTTTAGGTTTAAAAATTATACAACAATAACTTAATAGGTCTATAAACACAAACACAAATAAATGTTTACAATCATAAAATATTATAAATGTTTAATTTTAAATTCTACGCAATTCGATTATCCCTTTTACCAACTTGAATTCCAGTAACAGTTATGGACCCATGATTTTTGATAAATAAAAAAAAATCAAAATATAATAATTAACTAAATAATAATACTAAAAAAATATAAATTAAAAAGTATTTAAAAATATTAAACGGGTTGGCGGGTTGTAAACGGGTTAGAAATTTCAACGTTAACCCAACCTATTTAATTTTTTATAAACGAGTTAGATGGGTTAACCCATTTAACTAAATGAGTTTAAAATCTCAACCTAACCTGCTATTTATTGGGTTGGGTTCGGGTTGGTTTGACGGTTTCGAGTTGAGATTGCCACCCCTACATACTATATTATATTTTTATAACTTCCATAGATTGTCAAATTCACTGTTCTACTAATTAGTTTTTAATAAATATATATTCAATTTTTTAATTACAATAATATTATGAATTATATTATCATAAAATTATATTAAAATAAACTATTCGTATATAAAGAATTTGTATTAATTATTAATTTTTTTGAAAAAATTATTAAATAGATAATGTTATATGTATAACACACTTTTAAATTAATATTATGCACACATTTTATAAAAATATTATACATAAAAAACTAATATATATTTACGTATTGAAATAAATTTTGCATAAATAATCAACTAACATATTTGGTAGATTGATGTAATTTTTTTTAAATCTTTATTACGTTTAAATCGAACAAAAAATTGTTGGAATTAACTATTTTCATTAATCGTCGATTCGACCTCTATCGATAATATTTCTTTTGCAATTTCAATTGGATGTCAAGATAATATTAATGTGTGGTGTTTATGACAAACTCTTAGTCAACATCCACTTAGGCTTGGGGGAGTGGTTGTGGTCTCTACCGCAGTCTCCTTCCACCTCAGCATGAACACCGCCCCTCCACTGCGGTTTGGGTGCGATGGAGGCCGCACTGCGGTAGTCCATGGCCGCACTCCATTTTCTCTTTCTTCTCTTTTACTTGCTCTCCCTCTCTTCTCTCAACCAATCATCTTCTTTCGTTTCTTTTTTCTTTTCTCTCTCCTAACATTTTTCCCACTCCCCTATTGCGGTTTCTAGTTGATGAAATAAGAAAAATCTGAGTTGGCGTCTACGTGGCATAGGAGGGAGTGCGGTTTCGGTGACACCACTCCCTCCAGCCTTAAGAAAGAGAGAGAGAGAGAGAGACTTGCCTCCAACAATTCCATCCGTAAGAGTATGCCTTTTATAATGGCCATGAAAACATGCCCATGAGACTATGAAGAGTAGTCACATCCAAGCCACTGGAAAAACGCTACCAACTCGGCGGCATATCAACTCCACCACCAACTCATTAGAAATTGAAATGGTTACCACCCCATAATATTCATTTTTTATTTTTTTAACATTAAATTAAATAAAAAACATAATTTAAAACATAAATAAATATTTTAAAAACATAGAAAAATAAAACCACATTTCATTAATTAAAAACATAGAACTTTAAAACCTAAATTACTAAAAAAACATAAAACATACCAAATAATATATTACATTACTTAAATAACATAAAAAACTTAAAACATAAAAAAACATAGAAAAATATTTCTCGTCGTCCTTGTTGTCACCAGCCTCATCTGCATCGTCGTCACCGCCCTCATCCTCATTGTTCTTCATTGTCATTCTGCCTTGGAATTATATTTCCCATATGTGCTCGGTCAAATCGTGACGTAGATTGTGTTGTGTTTCATGGTTTTGTATTTCCAAAACCCTTGTGAAATATGTTGGGCTGGCGGGCTGCCAACTTGTATTACTGCAGGTGGATTAAGAATATCGTTCGCGGTACATGAACAAATAACTCTACCCTCTTCTTCTATTATCATGTTATGTAAAATAACACAAGCAATCAACACCTTCATCAATTTTGACCTATCACATGTTCGTACCGGATGTTTGACTATGTGTCACTTTTGTTTGAGGACTCCAGACGCTCGTTCCACATCCTTCCTTGCAGATTCCTGTGCTAACTTGAACAATTCTCGTTTTTCATCAGCCGAAAATTAATATGACTTGACAATTGTAGCGTACTCTGGATACAACGTATGACATGTTTGATGCTTTACCTTGCAAAATATTGTTAAATAGCGGAGATGCTTGGAGCACATTAATGTCATTGTTTGACCCCACCATATCAAAGAATGCATGCTAAAACTATAGGTCCTGTGAAACAACTGCCTCTAATATAACAGTCGGCACCTCATGATCACCTCACGTGAATTGACCACGCCACGCGTTGGGACAATTTGCCCACTCTCAATGTGTACAATCAATGCTACCAAGCATCCCTGGAAAACCATGTTTAGCTTGATGCGCGACATACAGATGTTCGACATCACTTTTAGTTGGATATCGCAAATATATGTCACGGTAAAGCTTTATAACATACCCACAAAAAAAATATTTACAGTCTCGACCCGTCCTTTCAAACATTTTCTAATACTCATCTGATGCGTCTGCGACTATGCTATATCTCAATTGTCTAAGAGCAATTGTACATTTTTGTATTCTAGTAAAACCACGTTTACCTCTAGCATCCCATCTTAATTAGAAAAACTCATAATTACGTTACAAATCTCTAGCTATACGTAAGAATAAATTTCTACTAATACGCAAACGTTCTTCGAATTTCGATGGATCATATAAACTACGAGGGGCAAAATAATCACATACCAAAAGTTAATTTGCCACCTCTCGATTTCGATGATCAATTTTCTACGTTTCTTTTCGACATTTGGATTTTCGCCTCTCTCACGTACCATGTTTTTAGCCGCAGACAACAGTGTGTGCAAAACCAACTCGTCATCATAATCATCATCAGATGACGAAGAAATTGAACCCAAAAGGGTCCAAACGATCAAAAATGGAACAACCAATCAGCGAGCCTGTCTTTCTCCGTCCTTGCATCCATGTCACAGCCAGACCACCGGCCCTAGGGGCGGTGTTTACGCATCTCCGGTAGCGCCAAGTTAGCATCACACGTCGGTTTGTATACCCACTCCGGAAAGCCTGAAAATGAGATTGTGTTTGCTGCCGGTATTAGGTGACACATGGGATGCCGGCGACATCTCCTCCACACCGTATAGAGGGTTTTTTTTTTTTTTTTTTTTTGATAGTATGCTAGTTATATAATATCAAAATTAGTGATAACTACTCCGGATGTTACCCCAACATATCATTTATTTGATAATACCAACCAGTAATTAAGTTTTTAGTTTTTAGAGCGACAATATTTACAGGGAAATAGAGAAAAAAAAGCACCGCAAGCATTAATCATGTCATCTCAATAATATATAGAGACTGTCCCTCCAACCCCTTTAGTCCACCCATCACATTCATAGACCTGTCTCTTTCTTTTTCCCTTTAGTCACGCTACCCAAATAGCCCCCACAAATTCCCTCATTTCCCCAAATTCTGCATCTTTTTTCTCTGTTTAAAACTTCAAAATCTTCATCTCATCTGGGTAAATCCCAAATCTTCACAACAATTAAAAAAATGGACTCATCTTCTCCCTCACCCATCTCTTTACCCGATCAGAAACCCAAGAAAACCTTCGTGGACTCACTAATGGACTCCGCCACCACTCCCCACCGCACGCCGTCGTTCAAAGAAGACACTTACCATCTCCACAACCTCAAACCTTCAGAAAAGAAAGCCCTCCAAGAACTCAAAGACAAACTCACCACCACCTCCGACGACGACAATGCGTCCATGTGGGGCATCCCATTGCTTCCACCCACCGCCACCACGGAGAAATCCGACGTCATTCTTCTGAAATTCCTCAGGGCTAGAGACTTTAGGGTTCAAGATTCACTCAACATGCTCCTCAAGTGTCTTTCATGGCGGAAAGATTTCGGAGCCGACTCCATTGTTGAAGAGGATTTAGGGTTTAAAGAACTCGAAGGTCTGGTGGCGTATATGAATGGGTACGACAGAGAAGGTCATCCCGTTTGTTATAATGCTTATGGCGTGTTCAAAGATAAAGAAATGTACGAGAAAATATTCGGAGATAACGAGAAATTGAAGAAATTTCTCAGGTGGAGAGTGCAAGTTCTTGAAAGAGGGATCAAGATGCTCCATTTAAGACCTGGTGGGATTAATTCGATTATTCAGGTTACTGATCTTAAAGACATGCCCAAAAGAGAGCTTAGAGTTGCTTCCAATCACATTCTCTCTCTCTTCCAAGATAATTACCCAGAAATGGTTGCTCGTAAGGTACATCAATCACTCATAATTTGTAATTTTCTTTTATCTTGTTGAGTTTGTGCATTGATGGGTTGTACGTTACAACACCCTGACGGGCACTAGTTCTAGGAAATTGCAAAGCTTTGTGCGTATATTACCCAGAAATGGTTTGCTCGTAAAGTGCTTCAATTGCTTAATTTGATAATATTTCCCCCCCAAAATGTTTTTTTTCTGTTTGTGCTTTAGTGAGTTGTATCGTACAACTCAATGATGCATACGGATTCTTGGAAAATTGAAAGCTTGTGCATAAATTATTTGCTCAATTATTAATGTACGCTATAGAATTGAACATTCCATGAAGTGCTAGTCATTTAAGTTAGATTTTTAGAAAATTTGATACCTTTTGCATCAATGAGTTGTATTCTATCGTACAACTCATTGATGCAATGTAGACGATCTAAGTCATAACAATGGATTTTCAGTTTTCTTGAAAATGGAAATTGGAAGCTTGTGCATCGTTGAATTCTATGGTACAATTCAGTGTAGCACATGACAAATAAAGTTGAAACCTTGTGCATCCAAAGAGTTGTACAATGTTGAATTGTTGACGTAATGATTTGGAAAAAAGGGATAAAATATTTCAAACCTGTGAATTATTTTTGTGGGTTTTTTGTAAAATACAAAAATAATATCTATTTATTTAACATTAATTTCTACTTTTTTGATATGGGTGTAGATCTTTATCAATGTACCATGGTACTTCAGCATGTTATACTCCATGTTCAGTCCATTCTTGACTCAAAGAACCAAAAGCAAGTTTGTGCTTTCTAAGGAAGGAAATGTCGCAGAAACCCTTTACAAGTTAGTATTCTTTTTCAACTTCAACTATTCCATTTCTGACATGTACAACTCTCACTGCATCATGTACAACTCAAATTGCACGATTTACAAGCCACTATAAAACAATGGTAGTTCACGTTTGTTTGCCTGTGGGGTGAACTGCATTCAAGTTTTGTACTCCATGTATGTTAGCTTGTACCAAAATACCGTTTTACAGTTTAAAAATTAAAAAACTAAATTTGATTTTTTGTATATTATATTTTTAGGTACATTAGGCCAGAGGATGTTCCAGTACAATATGGTGGACTGAGTCGACCCAGTGATTTGAACAATGGTCCTCCCAAACCAGCTTCTGAGTTCACAGTCAAAGGTGGAGAAAAAGTTAATATTCAAATTGAGGGCATTGAGGTAATTTACTTATCTTCTTTACTTCTGTACCTTTTTTGCTTAATGGATTGGTAATAGTTGTAGTATAGTACCATTGTTGTAATTGAAAAGGAAGGACCTACATAGACATATACAATAAACAATGAATCAATGATTAACTAACTACTCCTTGCTTTGATAGATTGTACTATGTGCAATACATAAAGTAAACATATAACAACCACTAATGTACAAATGTTAATGCATGTGGTACAAATTGTGTAGGCGGGTGCAACCATAACTTGGGATATTGTGGTTGGAGGGTGGGATTTGGAGTATAGTGCTGAGTATGTCCCCATTGCAAATGGAAGCTACTCGATTGCGGTTGAGAAAACTAGGAAGATGGGGCCCACGGAAGAAGCGGTTCACAACTCTTACACTGCAAAAGAAGCCGGAAAGTTGGTTTTGTCTGTTGATAACTCGGTTTCAAGAAAAAGGAAGGTGGCATCGTATAGGTATCTAGTAAGGAAATCGGGTGTTGTGATGTGAGTTTGTTCATTGTTGTTGTATGGTGTTTTGTTATGGTGTTTTTTGTGGTATTGAGAGATTGTAATGAAGTAATGATGTTTGTCTACGTGATATGTAAGTTGTAAGTTGTAACCATAAAAACGGTTGTATTACATTTTGTCTAATTAGAATAAGAGTAGATTAATATTAGATATCGTTTTCAAGGAGCGGATCATTGTTTTAATGGTCATTGATAAAAGGTTGAATGGTTGATTCATGCTTCGAGTTTACAATAGAGTTGGTTTTGAGCTAATAGTGACTAGTGTAGGGAGTTTTTCAATAATAAGTTATTTAGAGACAAATGACTTGTTTCAGGCTAACTTCCATAGACATTTGTATCTTGTTTGTCATAGTCGATGTAAAATACAAAACCTAGAGTGTCCCAACGATAGTAACCAAACAGTTGTAGAGTAAATTCTGTAATGAAGAAATTATGTTGAATACCGGGGGACATGGCCTGAAGTTTGGTGTTTTTTGATTTGTATCATATGATGGTTCTGAGATAGAAGTGGTGTGATGTAATCAAACATACTAAAGAATTGGTTTTAATAAAAGAAAGGCACAAAAGGAAGGGAAGGGGGTTGGTTGAACCCGTGAACAGAAGTCACATGCATGTATGATGGCGTATGATGTGATGATGGTCACAAGCTCCTGATGAAAGCATGCTTTCGCTTTAAAGGACCACTTCCTCTGCTACTGCTGTAAAATAATATATATATATATATATATATATATATATATATATATATACCCATAAAAATTTGTACGCAAACATGTCTACATATAAAAAATGAACACGACATGCAATTAACCCGTGTAGTACGCAGTACAACACAAATACAAGACATTTAATTGTATTGCACATATTTGAACAAATTTATATAAACTATTGTATACAAACTTATGTACAATTACAAGGGTTAATGTCACAATTAAGTAAAAAACTATTCAACATGTTCGTATCAACTAAAAAACTGTTATGAGAAGGTAAGTTAATATTATCTTCATTTTTTCTTCAAAAAACACTATTATGATTTTATATAACAGATTTAATAAGTAAAATCAGCCAAGCTTGATATGTTTGTTCAGAAAACACTCATAAACTCGTATTGTTTGTTCGACCAATTCAAACTACCATTCACCACAACCTTTTCCAGACAAACCACAATTACCGGCCAAATTTTTTAAAACTTATATTTTTCCTTTTAAAATGATCATTTGAAGCAAAGTTCTGTTAATCGATCTCGTTTGGGTTTTGGTTAGATTGTTTTCTATAATGTTTTTGTCTTCCCATGCTTTTCCCTTGTTGATCTTTTGATGTCTAACGTAAGGTGTATTTCATGCGTTGCATTGTTAATATTTATAAAATGTATCATGCCACACCAAGCAAAGTTGTTGCAAAGTTATTTAGGTGGTGTTTGTTTTTTTGTAAATTTCTTTTTTTCTGCTTTTGTTTGTATGCGGGCAAAGGTTCTAAGATTATGTTTGAAAATTGTTTAGAAGACCGAAGATGTTAAAACGTATGTACACATTTTTTTCGTACAAGACTTGGAACTTCACTTCTAAATTTCTTTTACTGCACCATACTTGCTACACCATTCATGGGCATCACCATACTTGAAAATGCCTAAAATGATATTTCATTTATATATATATATATATATATATATATATATATATATATATATATATATATATATATATATATATATATATATATATAACTAGGTTCAAATGTGGATTGATATCTATTGTGCAGACGTGTGGACAATGCTATTCTGTGAGAATGACAAAGAAAATATGTTGTTTGATAATGTAAATACGTTCAATCTTACATAACTATTGTAATTATCACGCATTGTCACCAATTAAATCGTCTATAAGGTTATTATACATTTTTTTTATTGTTCTCATTCTGTCAGAATGTTGTTAGGATCTTTATTGAGTCGTATTCTGTAAGAATGAAAATGAGTGAAAAACGATGCGTGAGAACAAAAACGAATAAGAATTAGTGAGAATGTATGGAAATGACAATAATTGAGTGAGGTTGAACGTATTCACATTAATAAACAACTTATTCGTTTAGTAATTCTCATAGAATAGTATCGTCCACACGTCCACACAATAGTTGTTCATTCACATTATAACCTAGCCCTATATAACTCTTTAATTTTTATAAACTCAAAGTTTATAAAATATAAATTTGTCTTTTGGTAAAAGACAAAAGAATCCAACTAGTCCAAAAAGTTTTGCATGACTTATTAATTCATACCATATGAAATCATAACTAGTAATACTCTCTTATAATTATTATTTTCACAAAACAATAATTATCCCCTAATTAAAATACAAGAGTTGATATTATTTATTAATAATCACATTAATAATACATATAAAAAATGTGACAACTTGATAAATGTGTAACCCTATAGGATCATATATTATTAGCAATGTCACTCAATAATGATTCTTGGGCATATAGATTCAACAATCTCCCACTTGCACAAGATTCATTACAGACTGACATAGACAGTAGTTGACGTCTAGCAACAGGCTACTACCCCTAACAACATATTAAGGGTGCCATCTCATCAATAACTAAATCCACGAGCTCTAAGCTACAATTGTTACTAAAGGTGTGGTATCAATTATTCATTTGTCTCAGACATCATGTTGAACAAGAGATATGTATCACGATCAATCTCATTTAGCGTTTAACTTTGAGTAAGGCCTTAGATGTCTAACTCTCAACGAATAAGAGGGAAAATCCCATCTTGACTACATACACCCATGATGTAGTTCATGTCATACCCAACGATGGCCCTTATGACTACCTTTTACAGAACAACGTTAAACCATGCCAAAACACAACAATTCCTACACTTCAAGTTCCAAATATGTATATCTGGCCGAAGAATACAAAGATATAACCTTGATCAAAACATCACTCATGAATATGATCCATAAATTGATTTTGATGCGGGTCAAGTCCAATACTTATTCTCCTTATCAAATACATATGAAGTTGGTAGCAGCTCTTGCTATTTTCATATCCATGAAAATCAGCCAATCCACTCATATTTGTCTTACTTCATAGATGCTCCCACAATTATGAAAGACTATGTATATTTAGAATAACCTAGTTATTCAAGGATTTTAACATGCTAATATAGAACACAACAATTATATATTCAATGAAAGACTCATATCTAATATATCAATTCATTAGAATATATGTTGCTTGTATTGTTCCAATATCCAAAAACTAAATTTCAATCAAATACATCTACTTATATCAACAAGGCCCTATAGCACCGACTTGACTTTCAAGATTTAGCTAATGAAGGATCTTTGTTAAGTAGACCTGAAAAACTTGATTTGTATAAACTTTGCGAATACAAACATTTTCAGTTTTATATAAATAACTCATACATAGAGAAAATTATTGATAATGTATTAGATGCTTAAATATGACTTAGATACTAATACGTGCATAATGGGATTACTCATACTCATAATGAACTATTCATTAAGCATATTCATATGTAGATCTCCAAACCACAACGTAATCTAACTCTGATGTGTAACTGTAATTAAAATCTACATGGAAACACTATCCATGTAACTTTCTCTTCATTCATAATGAGGACACACCTGATTGTGATTGAGAGTCATCTCAATCTGTTTGGAAGTTCATCATATGTGTAACAGATTTAAACATAACTTTCTTTCAAATACTTCATAGACTAGGAATATTTCTCTGGTTCTCGCAAGTACTTTAGAATGTCCTTATAAGTCACACTATGACTTGTTCTCGAATTATGCTAGTATCATTTGACATGCTCCAAGTATACGACTTATTTGGCATTTATACATAATCATGACATATATAATTAATCCAATTGTAGCAGTATATGGAATATAGTCATATTATCTAGTTCACAAAATTATACTAGGAATTTGAGTACTCAAAATCATGTCATGTGGTATTTACCAAGATAAACTCTTTTAGAGTCTTATATCTCAAGCTCTTTAAGATCCTTGACAATCAATGCATTTTTACTCAAATCTTTTGTTGGATTAGGTGTCTAAGCTAATAGCTAAATTATTATAATCTTGAATTATTAGCAAACTCCTCTTGAGTTGCCCTCAAACCTAGTAATTGACTAGAATGTTTTTTGGAGATAGATACTGATTTATTAAATTATTATATGGTTAATAAATTAATTAGAAATCAAAATAAATGATTTATTAATATATTATAACAATACTATATTAATTAGAAATGATATTGTTTATTTAAAAAGTAACCAAAAATTAATTGGAATTATTTTTAGGATTAATTAGATTAATTAAAAGTGGAAGGACTAAAGGTGACAATATTCAAAATTTAAACATTGACAAATTCTAGAACCTCCCATAAGGGGGATGGTTTTAGAGGAGTTCTAAAGCTTTTCTTGGGCTATAAGGAAACTTGGATGCCTTAGGTGTAACACCCAGAATCAGAAAGGCCAAGAAATGGACAGGAAAACCCTAAGTAAAAGGGGTCAACTCGTCGAGTCCAAGGAAGAACTCGACGAGTCGAAGCGGGATCCGGGTGGAAGAGTAAGTGGCCGACTCGACGAGTCGGCGAGTGGACTCGGCGAGTCAGGTCTGGGTTGGGAAACCCTAATTTCCGAACTTGGTACCCTATTTAAACATCATTTCAGGCCTCCACCCCAGCCTCCATCACTCCCCTTACCTACTCTCGAAACCCTAAGCAGCCATTGAGTGTCCTTAAGCTTCTCTTGCCATTTTTGAGTGATTTAAAGCTAGAAGGAAGAAGGAAAACCTTGGGGATTCAAGAAGAGGCAGTAGATCCAGAGTTTGGGAAGCATTTCAGATCAATTGAAGGTATGAAGCTCATACCTTGACTGATAGTCATCTAGATCCTCTTCTTAACTTAGATTTTGTCACTTTTGGGCCATTTCCAAGGTCAATCCGAGTATTGAGCTTTTATGGACGAAGAGGACTTTAGATCTGAGTATTTATGAGCCTTAGGAGCTCTGAGTGAGAAGCTTTATTCAGCCATAGCCTCATTTCTTGTTTTGGACCTTCATTGTAGCTT